CCAATCACTATGTATTTAATTTTTATACCAAATTTTAGAGTTGTGAAAGTATTGTGATTAACTAAAACATTTTATTTGTATTGAATGGTATCTAAGATAGTTTATATTGAAATCTGATATATCACATTCTTATGATAGATTTATAGGTCAGCACTGATTGAATTGAAGTGCTTCATTGAAATTTATTCCCCATAAATTATTTTTCTGCACTGGAAAATAATTTTTTACAATTGGTCCAGCTTGGTCTATTATATTTATATGAAGGATAAATAAACAAATATATTTAATTTCAAATCTGGACTATAGCATAGTAAGAATTCTTGCACAAGTTGTTGGCGGGATTTTTTGTCTGCCCATCTTAACTTTTAAAAATTGCGCCTGGCCCAGCCCTTTTAAAATTTTACGAAAAATTTGATGTGGCCCATCCAAATTTAGCAAAAATCCGCTCTGACCTATTAAAATTTTTCAGGATTCCATTTACTATATTTATTGATTTAGTTAATGATGCTTATACCTTAAGTATTACCTATCAAATTTGTATTTGTTGATTTTTCATTTGGATAGGCACTAGCAAATATATTTATAATATATATTTGAAAATTGATGACTTTTATAAAACCTCTGTGGTATAGTCGGCAATAACTTTGCTTACCAATCCATAGTTATTAGCTCGAATCCCAGCAATAATCATATAACTTGGTGCGTCCTTGTGGGATGGGGGGGGGGATATATATAGGAAGCCGGACTCGACCACGTAATTCCGATTTAATATATGTTATATAATAAGGGTCTTATTATATTTTAATAAATTTTAATTTTGATAGTATGTAATGTATCAAATAAAAGTTGTAAAATCACGATTCGCTCGGTACTGCCTTTGGGTAGTAAACATCATTAACCTATAGATTTCGTATTTTATTTAGACACTCTTTAAATACAGATATTGTAATTTATTCATTGGCGTACGCAGCGAGGGGGGGGGCAGGGGGACAAATCCCCCCCTCCCCCCCCCCCCCCAAAGCCAAAAAATGCAGATGCCGGATATATTTTTCAAAAATATTATTGTTTATATTAATTTATATTTGTTAATATTTATTCGTATCTCATATTAAATATATATTTTATTACATTTATTATCACATTCATAAGTTATTTTATCAATTAATTTCGATTTCAAGTTTTCCGGCGTAATATTTACTTATTATTTTCAAATTTTTAGCGGCGTAATATTTATCTACCATCTTTAAATTTATAGTCAAATAATAATTATTTCTGAAACTTCTGGTCCAACAGGGAAAATGAAATTGCAACCTTGTCCAACGAGATAGAGCCTCTTCCATTAAGCACTGCTATTAAGGAGTTGGAAGAGCCATTTGCTATTACTGAAATATCACAATGGCCTGAAAGAAATGTTTCCTTAGAAGCAGAGTTGTACATTTCAAAATAATAATCGTAAAATTTGAAGATCTTTTATTTTTTTAAATTTTGTGTAACGATCTTCAAAGATCGCAGCGATCTTCATGATATTTATTTTTTTACCTTTTTATTAAAAGCCCAGATGTTTTTCAATTTTAATAATATAATATTTCTTTTATGTTTTATATCTCTCCTCCTGCCTTGATGAAAATTGAAAAACATCTGGGCTTTTAATAAAGGGGTAAAAAAATAAATACTTTGAAGATCGTTACACAAAATTTTAAAAAAATAAAAGATCTTCAAATTTTACGATCTTCAAAGATCTTGCTCAAATTTTTGAGCTAGATCTCGCTCAAAAATCTTCAAAGAAGATCTTTTGTACAACTCTGCTTAGAAGCAAGAAAATTATTGGATTCAATGCTTATTCCAAATTTTATTTCTCATTAGAATGTATTATTTAATTATACAACTATTTTAAGTATTACTTTTCAAAAACATGACATTAAGAAGATGAGAATCGCGAAGAGCATTTTATCAGAACTCAAGGAAATTAGGGAGTTGATGAAGAATTTCATATTTTATTGTTGAGTCAAAAGCAGAGCTATACGTGTTTAATATTTGTCTCCCTCGACTTGTAGCAAGGCAAGCTCATCGTGAAAACATTAATATAGGATCAGTAGAAGAGTATATCTTAGATGCAGATATATTTATAACCCAAATAAATGAATTTTTAATTCATCATGCAGCACTTACATCTGCAAATATTATTTCCACAAAAGCCTTCCCAACCTATGGTGATAGAAAAAAAAATATTTGTTAGATTTTTATTATGAAGATGTTAAAGTATCTTATGATGCCTTACTAGCTGAATAACTATGTTTATAAGATTAACTACAGTTGATATAGTCCCAAAAAATGCTATGGATGCTCTGCATTATTTCAAACACGTTTTAGATTAAATTCCCCAATGTATTAAAAGGGTTTATAAACTCTTCCCATTAGTAAACTAATGAGAGAACACTCTCTTTTTTAAGAAGAATAAAAGAGGCTTGCAGAAGTACCATTTGCAGTGCACGGCCCTGATTTTTTTTTAAAGATTTTTTACGGCCCGGCGTGGGTTTTTTTTAAAAAAATTTTTAGGCCCAGCTCGGCTTTTTTCAAAATAAAATTTTCAGGCCCGGCCCCGATTTTTTTAAAATAAATTATATTTATTTTTGATTATTATAGCTAATAATAACGATTTATAATATAGGCTGTTTTAAAAAATACAGCCCGGCCTGGGTGTTTTTTTTAAAATAATTCAGGCACGGCTTGGGTGTTTTTTTTAAAAAATTTAGGTCCGGCCATGGTGTTTTTTAAAAAAAAATTCGGGCCCGGCCCGGGTATATTTAAAAAAATTAAAATATTGTGCCCAGGGGCCGAGCCAGCAGGTCGCTGAAAAACATACTAAGTACAACATGTGAAAGTAGATTGAAAGGTTTGGATCTTTTGAATATTCATAGGCATTTGACGACAAGCAAGGATGAGATAATTAAAAAATTAGCTCAATCCCAACGAAGATTGGATTTTACATTGTAAATATATAACATACAAAATACAATTATTCCTAAGAAACTTTTTGTGCAAAGGCTCAAAAAATTCAAATTTCTATTTTGGGTCATTTAAGTGATTCTTTACATATAATTTTTTTATAATTCACATTAATTTAAAATTGTGTATTAGGAAAAGTTATTAGTCCTAATCAATTTATGCTTGATATTTTTAAAAAACAATAATATTTCTTTAAAAAAATTATTATCCCCCCCCCAGACCAAATTCCTGCGTACGCGCCTGAATTTATATTAATCAAAATATTATCTTAATCAAGTCCTTGACGTTGGCCCCGCAATTTTAGATTTTTCATGGTTAATCTTTTGAAAGGATTTGAAATGTTTTCAGTTCGGTTTGTACAAATACCCTTTTCTAAATATTGATGGTTTAAAATTTAGAGCCAAAAAATAAAGATCTTTAGATAGGAGTTTTAAAAGATATAAATGATTTTAAAATACGATTTAATTTTGTGAATCAAAGGTATTGTATTTCATAATTAATTGACGTCATGAGTAAGCAAGGATTTATATATATACCTTTACATGATGAAAATATCCTTCACATATTAAAATGATATCTAGATTTAAATGGGAAAAAAATAATTTTTATTGAATGGTTATATATTTATATAAGATTTGATATTTTATACATAAATTTTAATATTTTTTTATTTTATATTATAAGTCTTGATATTTTTTATATAATTATTTAAATTATATGCTCATATAAAATAAAAAGATATTCTGCATTCAAATATTTATATTTTTAATATAAAAAAGCGCTAAATAAAAATATATCAAAATATAGCTTTAAAAGTATTTAGAATAGATAATTTTTATCTCTGTTCTTAAATTTTAACATAATTATCGGCATTAGCTAATTTGTATTTAAATTTCATTGATAAAACAATCATATATATTTTCTAAGAGAAAAACCCCCTTATATTTTTAGAAATATTTGAAAAATACATCCGTAAAATTAGTATTTATTAGCCTAGAAGTTTAATTTCTAACTAGGTTGGAGACCGAAAAAAGGGGGTTTGGGTCAAAAGCTATTTTTTAAAAAAAAATCTACCACAATCGAATTTGGAAACCCCCCAAGATTCGAACCGCAACTAATATAGTTCGTTTCAGATAAAAATAACGGTTCAGGTTCGTAAAATATATCGGTTTGTTTTTCACGCCTTTAAAACCCGGCTCGAATTTTTTGTCTAATATAAATTGATTAGAATACATTAAAAAACCAATAATATAAATAATTGTATTTAAAAATTCTATTGAAATATTCTAAATATTTTCAAGATTCTATTCATCTTCTGTCATTATATCTATAATGAGGAAAAATAAAATAGTCTTAGAAAGCAATTCTATATCCTAACTTGGATCTAGTGAAAACTGTCAAATAGCAATATATATAAAAATGGCGACTGATACTTATCAATCAGAATTGATTTATAATAATCTTTAAAACAGTTATATCAAAAAAGTTCATACCGGCTGGCATATCTTTTTAGAGATTCGGTCCAAGTGGGTAAATTTTTAATGGTTCAGGTCGGTTAAATAATAAGGGTTAACGGTTTTTATTCCTAGTTGGGAATATGAACAAAATTTTGGAGCTTTAAAGTTTGACTACAATTGGTGTTATTTTAGAAACCATGGTATTGAAATTCTGCACAAATCTTTAGTCAAGGTGATTGTAATATTTATAGTAATTTTGTCAGTATCTTCTTATTTGAAATTATTTGCTTCTTAAAGAAACTATTTATAAGGAAGAGAAAGCCTTAATATATATATAATTTTTGCCACTTTATAAAAATAAATCAGTATATTAAATACTATAATAAAGTAAATATGATATATAAAAATTTAAATGAATATAAAAACAAATAATATCAATTATCATAATTAACTAATATCTATGAATACCAAAATAAAATATTATAAATATATATAGTTTTTTTAATAAACGTTTTAACTGTTTTTTTGTTTGTAAAAAATATATTAATGTAATAATCCTGCTTATAATTAAATTTATAAATAGGCAAAATAGGATTTTAATATATAAAATGTTCACAGTCACAATTAGTAATCAAGAACTACTTTTATAATTCAAGAATATCACGATATAATAATAAATTAAAATAGATTCTTAATATGCCAAACTTTTAAAAAAATAAAGCTAAGTGGACAATGTTTCATCAAGAGCATTTTTGTCTTCCCCATTGGTGGTATTATTTAAATTAGCGACGGTATTAGTGGACAACCCTTTACCGCCGGCACTACCACTATTACTAACTACCGAAGAATTTTTGTTTTTCAAGTGTGCATTGTGGTTGGAAGAGTCTATCAATTTTTCAATTTTGGTGGATAAACCTTTTTTAGAGGGATTATTTGGAGATGACGCTAAAACGTGAATGGAAGAAGTCTTTCTAGAGCTGGGATTGCCGTGAAGAGGAGAGCCAGCCTTTTTTTTGGAAATATTACTCGTTATGCTATTCACATTATTTGTGCTATTAACCGAAGTCTTGGAATTCGCCAAATTTGGTGAATTAGGGTTGTGTTTTTTTATGGGTGATGTGGATTTGGGAGTTATATTTGTGGTAGATTCAATAATTTTGGTATGAATTTGTGATGGACGATTGTTTACATTGTTTGCGATACTATTATGAAAAATAACTTGAATATCATCACAATTGTTATTAATAGTAGGTGAGACCGTTAATATATCAGTGGCTGGAGGGTGATCGATCTTGTGACGATCATCTTCTTTAGGTAAGTCATCATTTTCCTCGAGTGAACCGTTTACACCATTATGGTGCATATGTTTAACTGTCAAATTATCGATTAATTCTATCTGGGAAGCTATAGAAGATGAATCGGAGCTGGATACTTCTGTTTCATCTTGGGTATGATTCATATCTAAAGTTTCATCTAAATGGTCGCTATGAATCTGATAGAGACCTCCCGAATTAGGTTTAACGGTATCGTGATTATTTTCGCGAGTCAAATTGGAGTCGATAGTAGAAATTTCAAAATTTTTTACCGGCACAATTATGTTATCAAGAGGCATTAGGGTTTGTTCAGTCACAAAAACCGTAAAACGCTCGCATAGAGAAGTTTTGGCCTTAAAAAATTTTAATATCAAGTTTTTATTTTATTTGTTAGATTCCTTCTTTTTTTAAACTTTCACCTTTATTTTTTTTCTTCCTTTCTTGCCTATCTAATTTTCTTTCTTACTTATTTTTTTTAAAAAAAATAATTTTGTAACAGAAATTGATAAAGTCAATTTTAGAAAACAATAAATATATAGCTACAAAAAATTAAAGATAATTACCTCATTATTATCTACTTTAATTTCTTTTTAATATTGTATTATTTTTATTTTTTTTATAATATATTAAATTGTATATAATAATGTAAAATGTAAAATTCTACTTCAAACTCCTCGTAACAATTTCTATGATGATAATAAGCATGTCCAAATATTCTGTAAATTCTCCGGCATATCGATTCTAACTTATTTAAGGAAGATTCTTTAAAATTTACCCTATAAAATTGAATAAAAATATTTAATCCGTAATTTTCATTATAATGTATCAAACGGTAATATATGTATCAAAGTTTAATTCATTAAACTGATTCCTAAGGGAAAATCCAGTAAAAATAAAAAAATTATATTTTATATAATGACAATGACTAGCTCTATGTTTAATATGTATACAAAACAATATTACTCATTGCAAAAGTTTCATCGTATAAATCTATTTAAACCTGCTTGGAAAATATTTGTTGTTATTCAAAAGGGAGGAAGCCCCATCAAGAGTGTGACGTGTATATATGATGGCAGGGCACTGTAAATATAAAAAATAATTTGCACAATATTTTAAAACTTTTTGAATCTAATTTAATATCTAAAGGCCATGAGGATTGTTAATAAATGTTCTTTTAAATATTATGTAAATATTAAAAAGTTGAAAATTATTACACATAAATATGCTCAAAATCAGTATTTTTTTATTGGTCAAAAGATATTTGAAATCAGTGGTCAATAAATGGCAAAATTCTCAAGACCAGCACAGTAGGAATTTGGTTTTTCCCAGGCCCGGCCCAGTTTCAATTTTTCACTAAGATTGCCCAGTCTGGCCCTGTTTTTTAAATTATTTTAATACAAAGGTAAATCAAAATATATGTTTCTGAACACTAAAATACACAACTATTTATAATCTTGAGTGGTTAAATTAAAAACACTATACTTTATGGATTATTACTTTTATGAAATATCAGAATTCATCAAATATATATTTTAAAAAAAATTTTGCAAGCCTTGTCCTGTTTATTATTTTGTATAGCCTGGCCCAAAAAAAATTTCAGTACGAGGCCCGGCTCGTGGGTCATCTATTGCATACCACTGTTTGAAATAACATTTTAAAGTATGGTAAATGGCCAAAACCAAGTATTAATGCCTCTCCAATTTTTATCATATTTTTATATACATAAACATTGTTAAATCAAAGTTATTGCTAAATATCTATATTTAATAAAATAGGGAATAAAATAAATATTTCGGGTTGAAAATCTTATATGTAGGTAGTAGTGTTGTTTAAAAGCCCGAATCGGGTCGATTTTTAAAAAAGGCTCTATTAAGATTATAAACATAATAATATTATGCAATCCATGAAATTATGTTCATAGATGGCAGAAAGGCTTGGACATCTATTTGCCAAATCTTGAGGCTTATATAACATTATTTTGGCTAAAATCTTAATCCACCCCTTAATCAACTCAAATCCGACTTTTTAACAACACGTAGGTAGACCTGTGCGCCGAAAGCGTTATCGGCAGAGGCGCGACAGCGTCAAATATTTTTCTAACTCAAATTTTCTAATTAAAATTATAAATATATTGTAATCACTTTTAAATTAAATTTATTCTTTATTAAGCAAATTAATAATTATAACTATAATTTAACGATTTTATTAAGTTATAATTAGGGCTGTGCCGATATTAAATATTGGAACGGATCGGCACCGATATTTGGCGTTTTCCAAAATTATCGGATCAGGCGATCCGATCTTTTTACTTTACTTTTTTCTGTTATTTTATGTATATTTATTTTACATTAATATTATCTAATTAATTTTTTTTTAAACAATGCAAATGCACAACACCCCTTAAATTTTATTTATTTTTTTAAATAGATTTATAATATTTTAAAAGTTTTTTATAAAAATAGAAAGGAACACCCAAAGTTTTATTTATTTTAAATCTTTTTAAATAATAACGCCAATTTTATTATTTATACTTTTAAATATGGTATCTGAATTATGGAAATATTTTACAAAAGATATAGAAAATTTTGCAAAATGCGTTATCTGCGGAATTCTAATTTTACGGGGAGGAATAATAAAAATTAATACTACCAATATCCATAAAACTTTTTTTAATTTAGAAATAAAAAATTAAATTAAATATATGATTCGATTTTTTGAATATTGATTTCTTAATTAAATATATGATTCGATTTTTTGAATATTGATTTCTTAATTAAATTTGACTCAAAGGGGGGTGGTGAAAAATCAATATAAATATCGGATCGGTTGTAAACCAATATCGGATCGGATCCGTGATAAATATGTGGATCGGCACAGCCCTAATTATAATTATCATGTACATGTATAAATATTATTTTATTTAGATTTATAGGACATATTGATGATCTTTTAGAGTTCAGAGTGCAATTATGGAAAATACATGCTCGCTGGGCGTGCTCGCTGGAACACAGGACTTTTCTAGCTAATATTGAAATTTTAAGATCCAATGCTCTTATATCCCAAAAATCTAAGACATCTTTTATTTTTAAATTATAAAGCGATGAATAACACTCTTTTTCTAGATTAGTAGATAGTCTTGTTGTTCCAAATTCGTGATGAATGCTTGGTAACTAATATCTTATAATAATCGAATTCCGAAGCAACTTCTGCAGTTTCACATTTGGTTAATTCGTCCGTGTAAGGCAGCAGAGAGGTAGCGTGTTGACATAAAAATTGTACCGGAGTAATATTTTTTCCCAATAAATATTTACGTACTAGGTTTATAGATTAAAAACAAGGATCCTAAAGTGCTTCTAACACCTAACTAAATAAAAAAAGGAGAAATAAATAAATAAAAAATAATTTATAAATTTTAAAATACTACCTGAAGATCGGTTATTGAAAATTTATGATCAAATTTATTAAGCATATTTTGTTTAAGGGATGCTATGGGAGAACTATCATTTATGATTGATTTTTAATTTCACTATGAAATAAAAAAGACAAGTTTATACTATATCCTTTTTGGGCGGATGAAAATTAAACAGTTTTTTAAGGTTTAATTTTAAAGTTCATAAACCAAGTCCCAATTGGAGTTTGAACCATTCTACTTAATATAATATTTATAGGATTTTTTTTTATTGCAACTCACACTTTCTAGCATTATAAAAAATACTATGTAAACATGTAGGCACATTTAATTTTAAGGTTTTATGTTTTTCTCATGATTTTTGAATTCCACTATAATCATCAAACCCAAAACGATCTTTGTAAAAAGATCATTATCACCCAAATCTAAAATACTCAATGTAAATGATATTGATTAAAAGCATTTCCTATTTTTGATATCATTTATATCTTCAAACTCCGCTATTTTGATTTTTCAATTATAATTTCTTTCACTTTTTAATGATTAATTTTTTTTATTACATCTACTTACTGACTAGATTATGTAATCCATGCCCTAAAACATAAATGATGGCCATATTATCCTAGACAAACACTTTTCCTTACATTAGATTCTGCATCTGTAAACATTTGAATTTTCTTAGACCCTAAATTGAATTCATTTTCAATTTTATCTATCTAAAAGAAAAGTTTCGGTGGTAGTGACATGATGTGTAGCCAATATATAAAATGTGATAAATTATTATCTATTTCATGAAATGTAAAGGTAATATAATTTAGATGTCTATATTTGTCGACCCATATATAAAAAGTTATAGCAAAATATAAAATGGATACTATTTTAATAATAAAAAATATGTATCATACCAAAAATCACTGGTGGTAGCATATTGGAGTGATGGCACACAAGTCAATGTGTAGGCTTTTTTCCAAATTCAAGCCTAGGACTACAATATATCAAGATCTATAAAGTCACTGAGTCTTGGGTGGAATACTAACTTCAGACTGAGAGAAGCTATGTACAAGGGAAAAGGTGATAAACTAGATTGTGGCTCTACCTGCTGATTAAGCTCCTGGAGCATGGAATAAAAGGAAATTAAGAGAATCAGAAATAAATTGATGATATTCTAAGGAAAAGAACTATAAAAGTTTTGTGGTGATAAATGCAAGAAAAGTGTCAAGCGAAGAACACAGCACTTTATTATATTGTAGATTTTGGGAAAGCATTTGACAGGGTCCTGCAAAAAGTTATTAAAATAGATTATCAGGTGCAGAGGAAAGGTTGGATTGGCAGTGATGGCAATGTATGAGCATGGAAAAATTTTTAAATATTATTTTTATAATAATATATTATTTGATATTTTAAGGTTGTGTCCAAAATATCAAAAAATTTAATTTAAAAACTTTCAACAAAAAATATAAATAAGCCTTTTTATAAACATAAAAATATTGCCAAAGCATATAAAATTTTTAAAACTTTTAGAATTTAACCTGTTTTGAATGCATCCTAAGCAATAATATATTTTAAAAACATAAAAAAAATTTTTAAATATATTTACAAATAAAAACAAATTTAAACCTCTTTGGGAGTTTTATGAGCAGCACATAGATAAATGCATTGAGATGTAGCAGTCATCTGAGAGCATTCATTTGAAAAACATATATCCTTGTATATACTGATGTATTTTAAACAGATTTAAATGTATACTTGCAATTTAATAAATAAGCTGTTTAATTCCAGACAAAATTGTCTAATATGTTCATATTTCCATATTCCTGCATCTTTATTTGGATCCAAATTTGCAGGCATCTTTAATATGGTTTTAATATCATGTGGATTTTTCCTTATACTTTGTTGTATCAGCTAAAATATAAATAAAACTAGGCTAATTTTAATATAAATATAACCTGTTGGTAAGATAATGTACTATCCATCTCTTCAAATGGCTGATCTTCCCATTTGTAGAAATCCTATATTAGTTTATATAAAAAAAAAATTTATGATCATGCTTAACTGCTGCTTTGGTCCCAGGAACGTTTCTTCTGAGAGATGGCATTATGGCTTTAATTAACATGAATGTTTAATCCACTAAAAAAAAGATATAATTCATATCCATATGATTATTAATAAAAAAAATTTCTAGATAGATTTACCGATCTTTATTTGAATTGTTGAGATGATAGATTTATATTTGCCAAATTTTATTTAGCCATAGAAACATAGTTTGAGCATTTATAATTTTATTTTATTTTAAAGTATTTTAAATTTTTTGTATAACATTAAACAAATTTCATATTAGATTATCAACCAAAAAACCAAGACAAAAGCGAATATTGTCCTCTTGGAATCATTTACCTTAACCACGATACTATGTTCAATCATACACCATTGAACGTTTTAACACATTTCGGATCTCCAGTAGGTAAAGACGAGTCCTTTACCAAGTTCTTTGCCGATATCCTACGAGATATATCCCTTATGCGAGATACACTATCTCGCCTCCCAGCTCACCAAGCTTTCTTCTTATTACAGAACTAACTTTTAATTCCAAGAATTTTATATACACTTCGAGCGTCTCGGATCTTTCAATATGACGTCAACCTCGCTTCACGTGAACTGGAGATTAAACGCCTAACAGAAGATATACTCAATCTTAAATTTGGGGAGTTATCATGGCTACAGGCTACCTTACCAACCAAATCCGGCGGTATTGGTATAAGGTCACCTTCCCTACTTTCTGTTAGTGCGTTCATATCCTCTCGCTTGTCCTGCGAGCCCATCATTCAAACGCTAACACAACATCCTAACCCCTTACTCCAACAGGCAATTGATCTATGAAAGTCCCTCTCATTAGTCGATCCTCCATCGTCGGCATTACAGAAGGATTGGGATAAACCTCTAGTTGGCAACTCCGTTGCATTCCTTAAATCGAGGAGCCAACCAGAGGACCATTCTCTACTCTTCTCCATTTCCGAAGGTAGTGGATACGAATTTCTTGAAGCCTTCCCATCCCGAAACCTTGACCAGCTCCTAAGCAATGATGTTAGACTGAATTGCGATATGGTAATACCTTATAACTGTATCCTCTGTCAAACGTCGGTCAACTCTAAAGGCCGTCACTCTCTACATGCAAGCGCTGTAAAGGCAGATTCATTAGGCATTCAAAATGCAATGATACCATTGCCAAGGCCTTAAAATCCGCCGGCATCCCATCAACCCTCGAACCTACTGGCCTTTACAATTTAGATGGTAAGCGGCCCGATGGTTCGACTATGATCCCTTGGAAGAGGGGGGAATTCCTAACTTGGGATTTCTCATGCATTGATCCTCTTGCCCCTTCCAATATAAATAGAGATGCCATACTAGATGCCGAGGCGAATAAATTAGCTAAATATTCACCATCTCTTCCCGCCAATTATACATTCCTACCATTAATCGCCACTACCTTAACGTCGTTCGGCTCTCATACCCTAGACTTCTTTAAAGAGCTAGGAAAACGGATCTCTGCTAGGACCGAGAATCCCAACGATGGATTCTACCTACGCCAACGATTAGCCATAAACATAGTAAAATACAATTATCTCAGCTTTATTTTTTCAATATCCGAAACGCCGTAATTGAACAACCTATGCATAGTATAGACTTTGGCCATTTTGTTGCATATTATTATAATGTTAGCGCTAAATTTATATTAATGTATAATTAATCTATGTTATTTTATTTTATTAAATTATTTTACTAATAATATAATAATATCTTATTATTATAATGAATATAATATTTATATTTTAAATAATCGTTTTTTATTTGTAAATTGATTTCTATAATCATAAAATATGTCCAATTTTTTAACTGTATTTTATTATAATAATAAAAATGTAATTCCTCATAAAAATAAATAAATAAAATAAAAGTTGAGCATCTTCTCCGAAAAAAATATATATACAGATTCTTTATAAAAAAAAATCTGTTACAGATACTAGTATCTTTTTCAAGAGATAAAAGATACTTGTATCTTTTGCTAAATTAGAGTATCTTAAATGCAAGATACTTTTAATAAATTAGAAATAGTTTATAAAATACAGTTTTTATTATTTATTTGTGAAGAACATAATATACGCATATAATAAGAATGAATATTTACAATAATTAAAAAAATATTTAATGATGAGTTAATTATAATAATCAGGCATTTTTATATTAATATTAGCCTATTCTTAGCATAGATTGGAGGGATGCTATTATTTTTAATTGAGTTGAAATATTAATTTGCAAAAGACTATTTTAAATAGATTCAATACTTTATAAGCAGGGGCATCGCTAGTCGTTACAATCTCAGGGTGCTCAACTAAATAAAATTTATGAGTGGGGGGGGGGGTGTATGGGGGACTTCTGGATTAAATATTTATATATTACATTTTTTTTAAATTTGCTAACTCTGAACAATTATTCTGAATTTCATATTTTGTCATTTATTATATTATGCATACATTAAAAACTAGCATATAAATAATTAAAAATAATAAATTTTAATGGAAAGCTAAAAATTTATATTTTAAATTTATTTTATTTTTTATATCTATCTACACTGAAATTTTACAGTCTTTATATACATTTTTACAAGTAAGTTTTTTACATATGAGTTTTTAAAAAGGTTATATATATCTATTTCAAAAAAACGAAAAAGAAAGAATTGCGAAAAGGTCATTCTATTTAAAAAGAAAAATAAAATGTTTTATCATTCAAAATATATATTTAACATTTCCCTCTTTTTTTTAATGTCTTCTTTCCTCAGTTTCTTATCTTTACTTCCAGTCATTTGTTTCTCAATTGCTCCATTAGTGATTTGTACGTATATCTTGAGATTGTTTGCTTGACCATCTGATTATCGTTTGTTGAATCGTTTATTGAACATCGTTTGTGAAACATCGTTGTTTGAACATTGCTTGTTGATTTGCTGTTTGTATTGATCATCCCATTTCTCTTTCAAAAATTTATATATATTTTTTTTACAAAATTTTTATTTATTTATAACAATCATTTTCTATGTTGTAAGTCATATTCTCACTTTTGAACTTGATTTTCGAATTTTGAACTTGAACTTGTTCACTTCTTCCCACTCTAAAAATTTTTTCAGCTTTGTTGTAGAATTTTCATTTGATATTATGTTCGTTGTTTAGCCTCAGTTATATCTTTTTCATTGATTTGTTCTTAGCTTGTTATCCTTATCGTCTAATCATTCGTTTGAACATCATCTCGTATTTATGATCATTTTTATTTATTTATCAATGTTTGTAAATATTTATTATGATCAATATATATCAAATAAAATAATTTGGGAATAATTGAAATGATAATGGAATAAATAATTTATCGAAATCATTCATAAGAATAAGAATCATAATTTGGAATATAGTATAACAGAATATTTGGAATTGTCTCGTTTTATATAATTATTTTTTATTTATTATTTAATTATTTTTATTTTTAAATTTTACTCCTTTATTTTTCAATTTAAACAATTTTTTTATATCATAATGTATCTTCAACTAGTTCTTTGTAAAAAAAATTCTCTTTCTCCTTCCATTTTCAACACACGATCTCCATATCATACTCTTAAAAACATTTTCAACATCAAGATATTTAATCACCTTGCCCCTCTTTTTAATATTTGTTTTAATTTTCTTTATTTCTAAAGTTTTTTTAAATTTTTTATCAATTATAAAATTTTTTATTTTATTATTTTCTCTAATTTTTATTTCATTATTGTCTTTAATCACTATTATTTCTTTAATTGTTATCATATGATTTATTTCTTTTAATTTATAAGAATTTATATCTTTTTTAACATTAGGTATTAATTTACATAATTCAATTTTATTCAAGTTTTTATTATTTTGACTTTTAAAATATTTATTAGGATAAGATATATTTTCTGATCTAGATTTTTCATTTATCTCCTTTACCTCTTTATAATTACAAAAACATTTTAATATATATATATATAGCTACTTTATAACTTGAACTTCCATCAGCGTCTACATGAGCGGGAGGGGTAGGAACAGTTTGCATCCTATTTTTTGAGGAGGTAGGCTGGTTTAATGGGGGTAGGAGAAATTTTTTGGGGGTTATCTATTAAATCTTGAGATGAAATAGGACAAAATTTATTGCTGTAAAAATTAATACTTTTATTATGGAATTATTATAAACAATTCATCGACCAAATCTATATATTGCAAATAATCATATACATTGTTTTCCAAATAAACTATCCTTTTAAATGTAATTTAAGGTTTAGATATTTCAGCAAGCTCATAATGCCATAATAATTAATTCATTGTAAATAATGGAGGTTTTAATTGAATTTATTATTTAAAAAATAAATTCTTTATATTCACAAATATCGATAGTTGGTAGTAGAGATAGATTAATTTAAGTTATATTTTATAAATTCTCTGATATCAATAAATTAAATAGGTGGAAATAATAATAAAGCGGAAATTTTTTGGGTAGGGTAGGCAAAGGTTTTTGAAGGGGGTTCGCATCCAGTGAAAATCCAGTCATGTAGACGCTGACTTTCATATATCGGTAACATTGCGTCCATAAGCAAATATAAGTCATAGATTAAATGTTAAACTCAAAACGTCTTGACTCTCATGGTATTTTAAATAATCTTCTAATGAATTTTGTTTTATTCTTATTGTCCCATATAGGTTTATTTATATTTTAAATATTTTATTATTAAAATTTTATTATATTTATTTTTAATTTTACATTTTAATCATCTCTTACGTGTTTTAGAATTAAATTAACATAATTTTTCATAATCCTCTTTCTTCTAGTTCTGCCACCATAATAAATTTTAATGGAAGGCACATTTATATTTTAAATTTATTTTATTTTTTACATCTATCTACACTAAAAATTTACAGTCTTTATATACATTTTTACAAGTAAGTTTTTTACATATAAGTTTTTAAAAGGTTATTGAAGAAAATCATGATAAACCTGCCATTATGTAAAAATGTATTTTTTTATTATTAACTTTATTATCTCTATCTCTCTTTCCTTTCTTCAGGTATTTATATATATTTTACAATTATAAATTAGAATATCTATAAAAACAAAAAGTAAGATTACAAAATATAAAAAGTAAGGTTACGAAAAATAAAAAGTAAAGTTATAAAATTAGATTATAAAAAGTAATAATAAGAT